CACGTAATGTACTGAAGCAGTGTAACACTACTCCACTTGCCAGTGTGGAATATTAGGTAACTGCCAAAATGTAACTACAAATCAGTTCACCACTATGTGTAGGGAACTGAAGACTACTAAAGTTTCAGAGGGGCTGCAGCCCATAATCAGCTCATGAATGGAAGCAGTCGGCTCTCGGAAATTAACGTGAAGAATAATGGAGAACCATCATGGTGAACGATGAACACCACAAATCATTGTTTGTTTTATATGAGTGGGTCTGGGTGTGACAGAATTTGAGAGAATCCTTCTAATAGTGTTGAGGGTATTATTATGGGATGGGACTATTTCATTTTGTTTATCCTTGATACATTGGTAATAACTAAGAAGCCATGGATGCTTATTATATTGTTAAACTGAACACTACTACTGCTGCACTGAGTCTCCAAAGCAGAAACCACATTTCTTTCAGCAGGAAATATGGAAGAGAAAACTAACCAACTGGTGTCTTTATTTTAATTATGCAACTAATAACCATCTCGCATGCACATCGATGATTGTAAGATATTTAGTTACAAAATTAACAGCTATTAATTCATTTTATTTAGCTAGATGACAAACAGTCTCATGTCCCAAGTGATTTTTGTTTCTAATTCGAGTTAATTTATAAAGCAAAAATCATCATCAATGATTATTTGAATTAATTTTGAAGAATGTTTCGATATTCAATCCTTCTGATACATTGCATTTTACTAGATAAGAAGTAATTTGACATTTTAAAGCCTTCATTGAGGCTTAAGTAACTCAAAGAAGGTAATTACGTCCACAAACAAATTCTTTTAGCTAGTCCTCCGATGGGACAACGGTAAGTTTTCGGACTTACAACGCTAAAATCCGAGGTTCGATTCCCCGCGGTGAACACGGTGGCTCTGTTTTAAATTATGTTTTAAAGTTTTATTTATATCAGTGTAAAGCAAAAACAGCATAAAAAAATTCACAGCAAAAGTAGCTTTACTAAGTAAAACGGATACAGACATTGTACTGTATCTTACGAAGATACGTTTCTTAAGTGTCTAACAGGATGTCTAGACAGATAATTTTCTATGAGTCAGAAAGTGTTTGAGAAACATATGCAAATATATTTCCGGGAAAGATGAAATTCATAATTTTCTATTTTCACACTCTGTATACGTCATATGGTACGACCTTTTTTTAACGTCAGGAAAAAGACGTGTATATAATTAGCTATACATATATATATAGTGGGTGGGATTCGAGCCAATCGGCCATGTGTTTTCCAAGATAACATGCTTATGTGTTATGCCGTATTGCATAGAAAAGCGGTTAGATAATAGAGACTTTAACATAAAGCCCTATGTAATATTCTAAAAAATTATAAGAACGAGGGTTACTGACCTCGAAGGGAACAAAGCAATCATTCATTGATTGAGTATAAGTTACTGATTAAAAACACAAGCTTTTGTGAACATGTAACTACGCATCACATATTATTTGTGTGTGTAACAAACCGGTCATATTTATCTACTGTTCTTTTGTACCACCGAATGGTGTATGAATACAATGAATGAAAGTAAAATTGTAAAATGTAAAAATTGCTTTACTCATTGAAAACAATTGTTTGTTTGTTTGTTTGTTATGAATTTCGCGCAAAGTTACACGAGGGCTATCTGCGCTAGCCGTCCCTAATTTAGCAGCTAGTCATCACCACCCACCACCAACTCTTGGGCTACTCTTTTACCAACGAATAGTGGGATTGACCGTCACATTATAACGCCCCCACGGCTGAAAGGGCGAGCATGTTTGGTGTGAGAGGGATTAGAACCCGCGACCCTCAGATTGCGAGTCGAGTGCCTTAACCACCTGGCCATGCCGGGCCCTCATTTATAAATATGTTCACTAAATTGGTTCGTTCATTTGCGATTATAAGACGCTCTGCCCGCTTCATGTGTTTTAAACAGATTAACATACTTTTACAGAACTTTTAAATCATGAAGATCGAATTTTCAGTCCTGATGTTTGCAGTTTTGATTTTCATTTTAGAATCACTAGTATATCTATTGTAACCTTTTATTTCAATGAAATGGGATAACTCTTGAAAAACTGTATATTTTAAAATGAAAACTGCCGGTAAGTATTTGGTGAAAACTTGAAGCGTTATCTTGTTTCGTATGCTAAAATACACAGATTCAAGTGCGCTGTAAAAATAGCCCGTCCCAGTCGTTTTGATGTAAGTCTACCTAATCTTTTGCACATTGAACCAGTTCTGACACCATCTTATAATATGATTATATGCACAAGTGCAACAGAAACAAAACTCTTCAAGTTAAGAGTAGAACTAACTGATATCATAGAGAATTTAAAACTAACCAACTAATACGAGGGAAATATCTGTCGTCTGGAAATTTACAGTGTATAATTGCAAAAGAGATGTCACGTAAAAAACCCTGCAGTATATTTAAGGAAAATTTAATTCAGAAGCTTTTCACTTAACTTACCTCTTCTTTTTTACACAATGTAACGGCCCACGCCCAAGCCACAGGCAAATGTTTAAGTAATTTAAGACTGACATTTTGCGTAAGACAAGCGTAAAATTCTTCCAGACACTTACGACAGCATTGTTTCAATTCGTAAATTGGGTGTCATAGCGATTCAGATTTTGACATTGAAAGGCATAAAATTGCTAGCAGTATTCTCATTCCGTC